TAGCACACCGCCTAGCCCCGGTCTGCATCACTGCTGCTAGGCGCCTATCCCTGTAAAGTCCTTTCCTCCTTCTTCAGCTTAGAATAGTCAATCGACGGCACCTCTACGTTGAACAAGCCTAGGGGCCAGCCCCTTACACCAGGTAGCGAGAACGTTGCGCTCTTGGGTTTGGGGGTTGAAGCTCGACCTTTCCCGACGACCCTACTGAGACGCTTCTGTAATGTGCGAGTGCAGAAACCACGAAGGCGCATGATTGGTCGTTGGGAGAACGTGGCAGACTGCGTGGCATTTCTGAACTTATACATGATCCATCGTGACTCGTTTCGAGGACTACAGTCTACTTCCGTGTGGTTAATGCCTCTAAACTGACCAGAGGGTCAGTGACTTAAAGGAGTATAAATTGAGTTGTCCGATGTGATTTAGACTCTTGTCCCGGCAAATGGGAGTCGATGCTGTGAGTATCTCGCTGCGGAAAGGTGTGCGTGTGAGCCGGAGATCATCATCTTTGCGTGGTTTGTGGAGGGGAGCCAGCTACGTCGACGATGACATGATCCTCATCATTATACGATATTGAGAATACGTGGGGAACAGAGGCAATGACAGGTGGTAATGAATTTGAATGTTTAAGGCGTGAATAATCCAGCTGGTTGTGTACCAACCGTGGAGCATAAGACAGCCGCATTCCCTGTCGTTTTCAACAATCCATTCCCACGACACCATTGATAGAGCTTTCTTTCCTTTATTTCAAGTTAAATAAGGCCTGAGAGGATGACCGATAAGTCGTGTTCTGCAGCACACTGAACGTGATCTTGAGATAGCTTGATCCATGTCATCCTAGGCGCTTCTTGTGTCGCCAGGTCCCAGCTGGGGGCAGGGAGTTTTGTATTTAAGCAAACAAATTGCCATGTCCATGATGGCAGGAGCCAATGGCAAGAACGAAGGAGAACAAGTGATTCATGTGTGTCTCAATGTCAACGTAAGGGTTGATACATCGAGAATTCTCATTGACAATCTGAAATGAGCAAAGCCTCAATACCTACCATGTCGTCTGTGGATGCGTGCTATTCGACATAATCAACAGACGTCATGGACGAAGAAGGACGAAAATCCATGTGAAATGTACTTTCGAGACGGCAAACTGTCGAAGTCGCTTGTTGTCGTCGATGATGCTTGTCTTTGGATGTGCCTTGACCAGAGACACAGTATCATCACTATCGCATCATTGAGCCTCTTTTAAAGTCAAATCATGTTCAATTTACAGTCTCCGCTTAGGTTACAACGGTTGTGTGACGGTGCGCACTTTTCAGGTTCCTTTTGTTTCGGGTAGAGATTAGCGATTTGAGAATTCAGCAGACTATTTTGCACTGCCATCCCCGCAAGACATCAGCATTTCTTCAAGCCCCTGGGTGCCACTTCGATTACGGATTATTTCAGGAAAGCAGGTTGTGCGGTGAAAAATTTACTCGCAGCCAATTTCACAGCTTTCTAGCCTCCGTGCTTGTTCGTAATGACAAGAAACACACCTTGATTGCGGGTTTCCTACACAAGCACCAACGCGGATGTCCAATGGACTTCCTCAAATTAGTTGGTCTGATTATTCGACTAAGAATAAAGCACTGACAGGGTGAAGCAGTGTTAGGTGGCAAGACGAAGCGATCAACGAGATACTTGGTGTTCATTGAGTCATAAATACTACAGGAAGAGACTTCAGCTTTTTCATCCTGGACCAGTTTCAACTGGTCGACCGATGGCCAATTTTGCGGGAATCAGAGTTTATTCAAACCTGCGCCCTTTGTACACAGTGCCTGGAACATACCACCTTGCCGCTGACGATCTGGGGACGGACGTACACGTTGGCAGGTATGCGCTTGAGCATGCAGCAATCTAAGGCGAGATTGGAAATGCCAAACTAGGATGTACAGAGCCTGCGGTTGGAGATAAAAGCACCCGCAGTATATTGTATGGAAGGTTTGACGCAAGCGACGACAAAATGTGTAGAAGTCTTGACTCTTGTGAAGCGTCTAGCAGGCCACATATTTGCTCCAGGCAGAGCGTGCACAAGAACTGCCACTCTCTACAGCATGCATGCTTGTATGCTTATATCATGCCATCTGGCAAGTATGTGGACGCAAATACTCGCGAGGAGACAGGAGTAGCTCTCCATGGTAAGGTGCGTGGGATATGTTCATGGACGCACATGAGATTTACCGCCTGGGACACGCATTCACTCTGTTGTTTCTGCTTCGCGGAGAATGATGCTTCCCATTGTTGCTTTGGAATGAGCTTCAGATCGCGCGAGCCAGTGAACTTATATAGCGGCATTGGACATTACCTCCCGGAATCCGCTGTGGTGTTCACATTGACACGAACTGCCCTACAGTAAGTGCATTTTACCGGGAAACGTAACGAGCATCTGCTATTTATTTATCCACAGATCAACCAGATTACCTACTCGACGTCAATGCAGTCAGGTTTCTGAAAGCGGGCAATGTCTTCTGGTCGTGAACTCGTATTACTACGTTTCGAGGCGCTAACAGAGTCACATCAGCCTGGAAAAGGTACATGATTGTTATTCACAGTTGATGTAAGAGCAAGCGCTCATCACAATGTATTTAATATGGACGACTGAGAAGGACAACAATAATTCAGCGTCTACATTGCTTGAGTAAGAAAACGTTTCGCTAGGGGCATACTCCCGGCTGGCATTGTGATATGCACTCTGCAAGAGAGCTACCATTATTTTACCGCAAAGTTTCCTGTAATTTCGATTCCAGACTAGATTATGCTATTATCGGCAGGTCATGAGATCAAGAGGCTATGTTTAGATATTAAGCACCGCAGCCGGCTGGGCAGCACAGTTCGTGTAAGATCTAATAGGACCAATTTGTTGCCAATGAATGGTCACCGGTCTGGTGCCGATGATTTTGGTTGGTCTTGATTGGCACATGTCGTGGCCCAGTGCTTGAAGCTACCTGGAGATATGTTATGTGAGACATTCGATTTCGGACGATCGTGTTCTGCCCAAAATGGACACGTCAATATCAATGGCAGAAGATACTGACTAGCGAAGATCAGCCATTATGGTTGCCCAACCAGGAAAATGCAGCAAGAAAGAACAGAGATTGTCCTCGGGGACGGATTGAGACAATCTGAGTGGCTTTTGCTTAGTGAGATGTCTGTTGTTAACGGCCAAGGTTGCATAAATAGCTTGCTAGCTCAATGTGAACGAAAACAGTAATACTTCACGGGGTGCCCATTGAGATGATAGATAAATGTGAGAGTTAACATGGGATTGACACTGACGAAGACTAAGAGGATGGGCACCCAAAATTGGAACATATGCTTCTGTCCCGGAAGGTTGAAATGCAGGACATCATCTGCTTGAATTGATCGATTCAATCGTGAATGCCTGTTGCTAGGATTGGTAGCTCAAGCATTTATGTTGAGGAAGTTTCGAGCCCACCCAGTAGGGGTTTTCACAGTAGGGGAAAAAGCAGTAAAAGCACCTCGGTCAGTGCCCAGTCCAGTAGCTTCGCAGTATACGTACCCAAGGGTCCGGAATAACTCGAGTAGCTCAAGCATTTATGAAGACTCCACGGCGGCTTGAACGGATTCATGCTCTATAAATCAAAAGGAACCAGAACAAGAATGTTGGACGGGCATCCGAGGACTCCTCGGCAGGTAATTGCCGTGTGCCGATGGGTACTTCTTCTCTTAGGCACTCCGGATAGCTGGGCTGATCTTGGCAAGAAAACACTCCGAGAAAGACTTGAGACACCCCCGAATAATGACTACCGATTTGTGCTCTCTCATCACAGCACATGCCTCAAGTTTCCTATCTCAGGAGCTGCAACACCAGGCAAATTTCAATCACTAGGAAGGCGGAAGACTTGGAATGATTGCGTTCGTATTTCTCGACCCAGTGGCTTGGCTCATATTGCTGATTCTGCAACACGTCTCCGCGAACGTGGAGTCGGACAGGGAGATCATCACACAGAATTGCCCCAGACAGGTACAAGCGCGTCTCAGGTCGGGAAGATGCACCCGGGACAGTTGGCTGACAAGGCGGGGAAACCCGCCAGAGCCTCTTGATTCGACGAATTGCGCTGCAAGACACGGAGCTGATTTGGGCAGTCAGACAGTGTCTCGTGCGATGTCTCAACCGGTCTCTCAGCCCGTGGCGCTTGGCCCTGTTCGGCGAAACCACTTCTCCAACCGGAGTAAAACGCAGAGGGTGAAGACCATGTGGCTACCTGAGAGCCTAAACCGTAACAGAATAGGCGCGAAGGAAATCTGCGATCAGGATGAGGATGGGATTGTAAGTATGGTGTTCGTTGGGCTGAGCGCGCGGGCTCTAGCGGGACGAACGTCTCAAACTGTGATCTGCAGTGGAATCGTTTTCATGATGCTAAACATGCTACTAGGGAGTAGCCGAAGATTCAATTTCCGTTCGCATGTTTGGGCTTTCGCTGGCATGTGCTGATACAGCGGCATATCCAACGATGCTGAGGCAGCGCAAACAGTAGAAGCACCCTGTTTTGATTACAGACAGGGAACTGATATAAAGAGTTGGCTCCGTGGAACTAATTCGACAGGAATCACCCAAGTCACAAGATATCGAAAGTTTACATCGCTCATACTCAAGATGTCGTTCCCTTCCGACCAGTCTCAAGCCTCCGTGGACACGGCTCTGTCGTCGCTTCAGAACAGCCCCACCGAGCAGCAATTTCCCAGGGATCGGCAGCCGGGAAAGACGAAGAGAAACCTTATCCTGTGCTTCGATGGCACCGGCAATGACTTCTCCGCGACGGAGAAAGACACCAACGTCGTTAAGTTGCTGAGCATGCTTGATCGTAACCATGAGGACCAGTTCCACTACTACCAGAGTATGTCCCCTCTGCTTAGATGATAACATTGTAACTGATCCATGGCAACAGCTGGTATCGGTACCTACTCTGTCAACGAGAAGACTGTTCACAAGAATGGTTTCCAGGAGGCTTGGAGCACGGTCGAGAAGAAGATTGATGAAGGGTTTGCGAGTACCTTCGATGCTCACATCATGGCTGGCTACCGGTTCCTAATGCGATACTATGAAGCTGTGAGTGGCGTACCACATCTCAAATCGGGCCCCAGTTGCTGATTCTACGTGTGTAGGGCGACAGGATTTACATGTTCGGGTTCAGCCGAGGAGCCTATACAGCCAAGTTCCTTGCTCGAATGGTCTACACTGTAGGCCTGCTCTGCCGAGGCAATGAGGAAATGGTTCCTTTTGCTTATCGACTTTATGACCGCTACCTTGCTGGAAAACTCAAATGCAAGAAACATGAAGGTCAGGGCGAGGACGAACACTCCGATGACGAAGATCAGGACCTGGAGCATGATATCCCCAAGCCAAATGAGGATCCTGAGGTGGTGAAGAAGAAGCTGGAAAAGAAGGAACGCAAAGACCGAACCCGCGAGCTCAGGAAGTTCAGCAAGACGTTTTGCAAGCAGGAGTGGACTTACAACCCTGACCGGCCTCGGCATCCGTCCAAGGAAACCAATGTTAAGGTTCATTTCCTAGGCCTCTGGGATTGCGTCAACTCAGTCGCTGTCATGGAGCAAAACGCGACTAAGGAGGTGCTTGTCAAAGGCACTGCACGCATCATTCGTCATGCTGTGGCTGTTGATGAGCGCCGAGTCAAATTCAAAGCCGCTCTTTTCAAGCAAGACGAGGGCAAGAGAAAGAATCACGACTCCGAGGACGTGAAGGAAGTTTGGTTCCCCGGTAACCATGGCGACGTCGGAGGAGGATGGGACCCCGTCAAAGATCATCTCAGGGGAGACAACAAGAATGCTTGGTTCTGGAATCGATGGAGGTCCTGGTGGAGTGGGAACAACCGCGAGGTACCCAAGAACTCTCACGGCGAAACCCACTGCCACGTGTGCAAGGACTGCGGTCTCTGCAAAGGCAAGGACTGCCGACTGTCGAAGTGCAGATCTGAGCACGACAATTGCTCGGAGAACGAGTGCACCGCATGCCACGAGAACATTGTTTGCAACAACAAGGACCATACCAGGAAGCCGAAAAAGATGAAGTTTGAGCCTTGCCAGCTGAGCGATGTCCCACTCATGTGGATGATCAAGGAGCTTGAGGCTGATGGCCATGTCATCTGGCGGGAAGATAAGGTCAATGAGTTTAGGCATCGGTTGGAGCACAACAAAGATTCGGCAGTCAAGGGTTCGGTTCATGACACCTTGATGCTTGGGTTCGGAAGTGGCTTTGGCACCGTCTTGTTTTGGAACTTCTTGGGTAAGATCCATGCTTTCACCCCATATGGAAGATTCTGAAAGACTAACGTATGCCTTTTGCAGAAATATTCCCTCTGATCAAGCGATGGGAACTCACCCATGGTGAGACCGCTTGGAATCGATTTTGGTATTGGGGCAGAGTGAACGCCCCGGTGAAGGACACTGAAACATGGGAATGGGTTCGATTCCCTCTCAACAGGGGCCAGACACGAGATATCCCCAGAGACGCCATCTTGCACCACTCGCTTATCCAAAAGCTTTACACAGACGACGATTACATGCCGCAAAACAATCATGGCGACAAATCCCCTTGCCTGCTTCAGAAAGATGAGCATGGTAACGTCATCAAGAACAAGAAGGAGTGGAAAGAGATGTACAAGGTAATCGAAGCCGAACACAAGCTGAAGGCTCACCCTGATCACACCACGTATCACCTGGCGACGTACAAGGGCCCTAAGGTCCAAGATCACCACGAAACAGAGTGGCGCGGCCTGTAGCTCACGAGCAGCACATTTCGTTCATTTTACTTGAAATATTCTATGTCATCACAGGGCATCTAGTTCGAAAGAAATTGACATGCTATTGAATTTGATGCGTCCTATTGCAACTGAACTATCAGCTCGGATTTCGAGCCTTGAACGGTCTGCTTCCATTGTTATAATTACAGGTCGAACAAACGCGAAAAGAATATCCTGCTGCACGGGTTTTACATGACGTCGAATGGTGATACAATCAATCATGATGCCCAAGATCTTCTCCTACCAGGAGAATTGAAGGTTCCGGCTCCACCTCAGGAAAGTTCACAGGCCTGGGAAGGTTCTTGAACTTCAAAATTTGCTCAGAGATGCCATTCTGATGCTGCCATTGCAATATAGGATCATGAGCAACACACTGCCGTTTGATGTTGAAATCAGGGTATGGGTTTTCTTGAGTCTTCATCCAGTTGTGGGATATCAGATCTAGGCTTGGGTTGCATGTCAAGGCCTGCAAGATGATGTCGACGCAGTGTGCCAAGTGAGCTTGATGCCTTTTCGGCGCCATCGAACTCGTTCAAAGTAAGCATCGTGTCCAACCAAAAAGGACCACTGAAACGTACATGTTCTTGTATGAATTACTGTAATACTAAAACTGCATCAGTCCCGTCGTCTAGGATGCTTCGGCATGGAGGTACCTCGATGAACTTACATAGTCCCAGTAGGCATATTTACGTATAGCATTGAGGCAATGCAGCTGGTGTTGCATGTCAATCTCGACGAGATACTTGTCGGGGCCCACGCCCCAGTCCTCAGGGATAGACACAGAAATCTTGGGATCTTTGCCCATTTTTCTGAGTGCATCTCCGCTTACACCAAAATACTCGATGCGCGTCATGTCATCCCATGCTTTGTCGACCTCTTCGCTGGGCGGCTGTCGCCAAATGCGGGATGGAGTGTAGTCGTTGAACAGCGTTCCTTTGACTTCGACGGTCTCGAGCTTGATTGGAACGTCGTCGAGTATGGGACCTAACAAGCGGCGTGAGACCAACATTCGTGAACAATAGTACCAACTTACTGTAAGGTGAAACCCGCTTCATAAGCCGAATGGGGTCATGCAGTAGTCTCCAAGAGACGAACAGCATTCCACACGACAAGACGAAGAAGAAAACATTGAAGATCGTGATTGCTTTCGAGCGATAGCTCCATACCTGCCTACTCGGAGGAACTTGAGAGGGCCAGTCCGATTTCGATGACTCCAGTCCTTAGCTTTCCTTATCAAAAGTCGGCAGCAACGAGTGTTTTGCTCACCTCATCCAAAAGGCTCTCGGCAGAGTCCTTCTCAAGGTCGTTGTGATAGATCTCTCTCATTTCTGCAAGTTGAATTGAAAAGCAGAGTCTGCCGCAAGCGAAGCAAACGGGCTGTAGCAGAAGATTCTGGTTTTCCTGGCACGCCCCATTGGGGTTAACGTCGGCAAAATTGCAGTACTCCGTAAGCGATGGCAAAATGAAGGATTTTGTAAAACTGTCCAGACCGAGTGAAGTCGTAAGATGAAATGTTTCCACCTGCCTGAAATCGAAAAGCCATCTAGATCCTTCACGTCCTGCATAAAGTGTAGGAACTCGCGGCTGCATGAGATGCATTGCCCAATCACACAATGCAGCTGAAGGATGCGCCGAGACCACCAGGATTATGCCAAGAAGTGATATTTGACTACCAAATTGGACTTATTCAGCGACGAGGCAGTACGAATGAGTGAGATGTCTTGATGTAGCCCATTTCGCCGCATGAAAACAGACCGAATATTGAGAGTGAAATAGGCCATCGAATGTCAACTTGGCACATGAAATCTGCTGACGATGAACTCTCAAACAGCTGAAGGATGGGGTGAAGGTCAGTAAAGAAGTGGGACAAAAGATAAGACGTGCCTCTAGGACCCCAAAAGATCGCCCCGCCAGCGGAACAAGACACTCTAGGGTGAGACGCAGATGAAGTAGAGCTTTCGGCAAGGTTGCGGCACTGATCCGACGCGTAGACAGGAATTGAGTCTATTTGGCAACGGCCCTTGCTAAGCGTAGGATTCCGCGCTTGCAGATACCCCTTGTAAATCCACCCAGCACTTGGGGGCGGTTGTACACCTTCTCGATGGAGTTAGCCCAGTAGTCACGATCTCGGACTGTCTCGAAACGGCATGTAAAGTATGTGTTCAGTACGTCATGTGAGATATACGACATGCCTTCATTGGCATGATGCTTCGAGTAGGATTGGCGATGGATTTCGTGTCACATTGGCGACAATGGTATCATACACAGTCTAGTCCTACCAGGACCAAGCGCTACTTGGTTACGAGCACGTCGGGCGGAATATCGAAGAGAATGGGCGCTTATCTTCGCGACGGGACAGCGGAATACCTCTTTAGCGTTGACGATTGAAGGCATCTTGACGCAGGTGATAGACCAAGGAGGTTGGCAGGCTTGAAGAAACGGTATAAAGCGACGACCGTTGCAATCATCAGTGGTCTATATCAACTCCAAGTCATCAACCAGGCCAACACAAACTTGGCAGCCCTCAGACAGCCGGTTATCATACCAATTATTCATCATGCGTGTCCAAAGTCTTCTTGTCACCGTCGCAGCTTGCGTCTCGTTCGCCTCTAGTGCGCCAGTTGTCGCCGAGGCATATGGCCCTCCTACCAGCCCGGATGTCATCTCCAAGAAAGACACCGTGGAGGCGTACGGACCTCCCGTCAATCCGCACATCATCTCCAAAAAGGACACTGTCGAAGCGTACGGCCCGCCTGTGAACCCGCATATCATTTCGAAGAAAGACACAGTCGAGGCCTACGGGCCTCCTGTGAATCCCCACATCATTTCCAAGACAAAGAAGGATACCGTCGAGGCCTATGGTCCTCCCATAAACCCTCATATCCCGGCTGTGGAGGAGAAGCGCGAGACTGTCGAGGCATACGGCCCACCGATCAGCCCTCACATCATTAGCTAGATGGAATGATGTCTATTATGTTCATCAGGAGGTTAAGAAGCCCGAGAACCATGACAGCTTCAGGTTAGTGGTAGTCGCACGAGGGCAGAGTGGCTTCAGAAAGCTTTTGAGGAGGTTCAGCGTGTAGTTGGAAAAGGACATTCTACGAACGGCTGTCATGAGTTTCGGAAGAATTAGAAAATAGGAATCCGAGTCACAAAATACTGAATTCAACATCGCATATTGTCACAAACGAGACTAGTTCCGCCACTATGAAGTTTCCTGTACATGCTCATGCACTTGCTTTCATATCTAGTTAGATTTGCCAAGCTTGAAACAAACAAGTTGCGAATACTGCAACCAAAGAGACAAAAGTACAAGCATCCTCTGTGATTCCGCCATATAAGACAGGTATCGTGGGGGCCGGCACCCAGCCGAAGCAAAAGCAAAACGTTCCGAAACCGAGAATCGAACTCGGGGCTATGCCTAACCTCTCACGAGATGAGAGGGCATCATGTTGGCCACTACACCATATCGGATGCCATTTGGTGAGAGAGGATCACAATTTTGCAAATATGTCCCAATGGTGGAAAAGGTGGATCAGCCCTAACCCGTCTTGCTGCACTTATCCGCCAAGACCCATCGACGACTCCAATTTGCATCTCCACTCTGCTTCTTTAGTGCCCCCAGGTAGCAGCGCCTAACCAATATGCCGGGCTTTAGCATGGGCCGCTGGCTTTAGACTACTCGATGGGAGGTATTCGCCATTTGAATGAGGGGATTGACAACTAGACTGAGGTCTTTAAGGGTTTAAGAGAGTTGCAGTAGATCAACCGGTTGCTTTCAATGTGTGCTGAGGCCAAGGTGTAATTTGATTACTTCGGACCGTGAGTTCCTACAGAGCGCCTCAGACCCTTTCCTGTTAACGGAGTTCATGGCTTAATCATGGAAAGAGTCAAGACGACATACTTGCCGAGGAAACCACTTCCTACGTTACTTTTTCATAAACGATCCGAAACAGCGCAAATTGTGGGAAGGTGCCGCCTGCCTCACAGACCAGGTGTTCGTCGAAGAAGGTGCAAGGGAAGGTGAGTTTCCCCGCTGAACGGAAAGTCAACTAGATTCAAATTGCCGACGCCCAATGACGACACCAATGTTCCCCAACGACATAACACTAGCGATCCTGAGTGCTGCACTGTATGGACCTATCAGGCAGCCAACAAAATGTTGTTCAATCCTTTCGCAGCCGTTGCTCGAATTTTGATGTGCAACTTCACTATTTTAGTCCCACAGCAACATCAACCTGGTTTAGGATATTCACGCTTTGCTTTGAGCTTCGTCCGGACTCAGATGCACCTTTTCGGTACGCCACCATCAAGTCTACGATGACATCAATGCTGACACCATCAGAACAAAAACTGACTATTATGCCTGGTCACTCGACGGAAATCAGGCACCCTTCCAAGATCATGGTCGTCGGGGACTCGATGTCTCACGGCCGCGAGGGAGACTTCACCTGGCGGTACAGGCTATGGGAATGGCTCAATGAGGAGAATCTCAACTTTGAGTTTGTTGGTCCGTGCAACAGCACCTTCAAACCCTCGGAATCACAGACATCGAGCCCGTCTCTACTGGCGATAGAACAGTCAAATGAGGCATCACCAGAGGTTTGCAAGTTCATGGACAACGGTGGTTACGCAGACGGAATGAAATTTGGATCTCAGCACTTCTCAGTTTGGGGACAGCAAACGAGGCAATGCGCGGAGGCGATCCGCCAGCAGGTGGCAACGTACGAACCAGACTTGCTACTTGTCATGCTTGGCTTCAACGACATGGGATGGGGCGTCAGAGGACCAGAAGACACTATCAAGGTCATGAAGGAGCTGCTCGATAACGCCCGTTCTGCCAGTCCACGTCTGAAGTTTGCCGTCGCAAGTGTCCCTCAACGAACTCCCATGGAAGGCACCAAGCAATTGGCAAAGATGGTAGACACGTACAACAAATACCTGGAGCCATCGATCCACAGCTGGGATAATCGAGATTCTCCTGTTCGATTGGTCAGAATACGCGAGATCTATGACTGCTTTGATGGTAGCTACGACGGATTACATCCTAACGCCCTTGGCGAGTTCCAGATTGCTAGAGCATTCTCTCAAACCTTGGTGTCTCATTTCAGCATCGGCACCAGGGAAATCGTCATACCGCAGAAGATCCCAGAGAGACCGAGTCCTGTTCCAGTGAACGTCACTGCAGTGGCTCAGCCGCAGGGGATCACGGTTGTATGGGATCGCGTATACGGCGCTCTAGGATATGACGTGAGATGCCGCTCCGACAAGACTTCGGAGTGGGAGGTTTGGCGCAAAGACACAAACCGACATGATACGATGGGTGTTGAGGATGGAGTCGAATACCAGTATCAAGTCCGAACGAACAATGGCCTCATGCGTGGCAAAGACGTCCTATCGGAGTGGTCGCCTATCGTTTCGGTTGTTGCCCGCACAGCCGTGATACTAGAAGGAGAGACTTCACCAGAGCTTTAGAGTCTTCAGTATTCTAAGCAGGAACGTAGCACCCATAGCACTCCTTCCGCCTCCTGTGTCACAGTAGCAGATTTTGTATTGGTAGTCGCTACGCTGTATTAATTGGCATAGCTATCTCGTACGTTATTGAACATGCCATACTGCTGTGACAAATCTCTCAATTCGGGCGGAGAAGTAAAAGAAGTGCTGCATGTATCATTCTGCTCTTCTAATATTCATGCTATTTCTTTGGCTCTTGTATTTCTTCTTTCGTGTCTTTCACCTTTACGAGATGCCGCCCAATCGCCGAAATGCTGTTCGTGATGCCCAATATGGTCTCACCGCAGGTCTTCAAGAGTAATTTCAATAATTTAAATGGCATATTTCGCTTCAGTGTCTCTACACTCGTAGCTATCCTCACGTTAGCCGTTATCTCTGTTGTTGTCTCCGTTAACGTCCTTGTAGCCGTCCGTAATCCTTTAACTAAAGTCCGCTGTGACAACGAAGGCTTGTGGACATCGGAATGATACATTTACAACCCAACAAGAGATTTAGCGTTGAATATAGAGGATTTGAAGTTTTAGCGGTACACGTTACCGATAGCGAGAGCGAGAGCGAAGTCCAGCATGACTCCGTCGCTTGACCAACATCGAAAGCTTTGCTCATGGCACTATGAAACGCGTCCTCTTTCCAATCGCATACAACATCAAGCATACTTTATCTTTGGCAAGAAAAACACGATGCAGTCCTCGAATGTGGTCGTGGTAATTGGATGCGGCGGCAAGGGCCTCCCCTGCGCCCGCCGTCTGGGCATTGGCCGACAGGTCTTGCTCGCGGATGTCTCGGCCGATAGGCTTTCCATTGCCGCAACCGCCTTACACAACGAAGGCTATTTTGTTCATACGGAACTCGTGGATATTTCAAGCTTCGACTCGGTCAACGAGCTTGCGCAAAAGGCCTTTGTCATAGGCCCCGTCGAGACGATTATCCTCGCCGCTGGCGTTGGTCCAGCGGCCGATTGCGCCCGCACCGTCTACGAAATCGACCTGCTCGGGACCATCAACCTTATAGATGCCTTCATTCCAATCGTGCAGGCTGGTTCCAACTTCGTCTGCATCTCTGGAATGGCGGGCCACCTCTGTCCACCTTTAGATCCCGCATTCGAACGTCACCTTGCCATGGCATCACGGGAACGGCTCCTGGCGCATCCCGACTTCAACATCAATGAGCCGGGCCCACAAGGAGCGGCTGCGGCATACGGTCTATCCATGCGTGGGAAGCTGGTCCGGGTACAGGCATCTGCGGCGGCTTGGGGGTCAAGGGGGGCCAGGATCAATTGTGTGAGCCCTGGAGTGATTCCTGCTCGGACTGATCAGCGCGGGGTGGATGGATCCGTTGATAATCTAGTAAGGATATCTCCAGCTAGGAGGGCTGTGACGCCGGCAGACATTGTCAACGCGGTAGCATTTCTTGTCAATCCTGCGTCCTGCTTCATCACTGGTACTGATATCTTGGTGGACGGCGGCATTGTCTCCTCCATGAGGTGGGATACGGAGTGAGACTCTAGCATAATGAAGAAAAACCCGAGTGTTTAATAAGTATAGCAGTGAATAAACATGAGCGCAAGAAGTACTCGCATTGTGAGTACTGTCATGAGACGATGTTGATGAGATTGAGTTGTTTGGGTTGCCAATGCCGTTTGATGTGTTTTAGTGGTCTTTGAAAGATTGATCGAGTCCGCTCGTAGCAGAGTTGCAGGGATCATGATCGCTTACATGTTGCAGGGGAGTTTTAATTGGTAGATTATCCCGATGATGCACGTGTGAGTGTGCCACCAAAGGCCGCACTTTGGCAGCCTGGCTGCCTAGTCGTGCTACGTACAAAGCTGATCATGTCATGCTTTTCAAGAGATTCAAAGCTTGAATGAATATGTTTGCATGTGATCTATGATCTAGGCAGATCGAACATGAAGTATTCAATTCGTCCATTATCTCTCGAGGACGCTATCAGCACTCGCTGGACGGATGGCGCTCGGCCAAAGACCTTCGACTTCTTCGACACACTTCGCACAGAGGGCTGTCTTCTCTACTGCTCTGCATACGCCTCTCGACAGAAGCTCTCACCAGAAGCGATTAAAAGCTCACAAGCATCCCACGAAGAGATCATCAGACGAGGCAAGCACCGCGTTGCTCAAGGGAAGGCCTTTGAGTACCACGAGTTGGCAGAATCTGCCCTTAGCGGATGTGGGACCTGTGGAGCTATCAGACTGATGCTTGATGAAGCTGAGGCACAATATTCGTTATCTCTCTCTCGTTCTTCAACAATCAGATGGATCGTAGGCCACAAGGGCACGCTGAAAGTCACGGCGCCAGACGGACAGGAGACATTCGTCAGAATCCTCAACCTGTCAAACTCATGCAATACATTTCGACGAATGGACACAACCAATGGGATTGTAGGAGACACATCATCTTCTTTGAGCCTTCAACGCTCCCGAACCTGGATTGGAGACTGCGAAGCGAACCACAAGGATTGCGGCAAAGGGACCCAGCTGGAACTTCCAACGCGTCTCCTCGACGTGACCGGAGTTTCGGACAGCGGAATCGACGGCGTACGTCTTGTGAACACAAGAGGGCAAAGAGGAACTTATATGTGCCTCAGTCACTGCTGGGGCAAGACCCCAATCAGGTCTAAAACGGAGAATGCAACTCTCCAAGAGAGGCTCAATTTGATTCCTTGGTCTTTGCTTCCTTCAAGCTTCCAGCAAGCAATCGAGATTACGCAAAAGCTGAGAGTCCAATACTTGTGGATTGACTCTTTGTGTATAATCCAAGATAATTCAGCGGACTGGGAGAGGGAAGCCGCACAAATGGTCGACATCTATCGCAATTCATATGCAACCATCGCAGTCAGCTGGTCTCATGACTCAAAGGGAGGATGTTATTCCAAGACTTCCCCACCAGTATGCTTCAAGGTCACGAATCAAACCGGGGACGAATTCCTCATTGCGCTAGCTACAGGCGCAACTCGGAACTTGGCACAGCACGATAAACTTCAACGATACTTTCCGCTTTTCAATAGAGCCTGGTGCCTCCAAGAGCGGCTTCTCTCTCGCCGGGTCATTCACTGCAACTACGGAGAGCTTGCATTCGACTGCGGGAAGGGGTACACATGCGAATGCGGTGGTAAACAGCACTATGATTGGAACAACGTCGTTGGTCTTTCTGGCACGTACACCCCGCTGCGTTCGAGATCGAAGTATGTCGTGTTGTTAAACAACCGCACGACCACATCGTCATCAGCCCTTCGCACAGAGAACGGAAAGATCGACCCTTATGAGAGGTGGCATCGGGTAGTAGGCGAGTACACCTGTCTTAATCTCACCAAGACCTCGGACATGCTGCCTGCACTCTCTGGTCTGGCTCGTGAGATGGCTGAAATCACCAAAGACACCTTTCTCGCAGGCCTTTGGAGAAATAATCTGGAGCAAGATTTGATGTGGCATGTGTCGACCGTGGCTAGTTGGCGGGAACAACGCGAAACGATCCTGCGTCGGAAGTGGATCGCGCCGTCTTGGTCGTGGGCTTCGACTGGGAGTGGTTGCAAAGTCGAATACCCCATACTCAATGGAGCCGAAATTCTCGAATACAAGACCGCTGGAGTCGCGAAGACAGCAAAAGTCACTTGCCCACCGCGAGGCCCTGATCCGACTGGCTCAGTGTCATATGGCCGCCTTGAGGTAAAGGCGTGCCGGATGCCTGTCTTCATTCAGAAGCCTTGCTCCCGGTGGGACGTCAAGAGACGTTGGACGAACCGAACCTATGGAAAATTCCTTCTCTACGCTCGTGAAGACAATCGGGAATGGCAACAAAATTGCGTTCCCCCTAACGGAGAACCTCCGCCTGAGTTCGGCCCCGCAAGATCATCTCTATGGGTAGATCCGACAGTTGAAAAGCTGGAGAAGAGTTACATCTGCAGAGGAAGTAAAGGCCAGCACTACAACTCTGGATTATGCACCCACTGCGCTTTTCTTCCGGCAGCACTCATGTACATCCGGGGAATGAGGACAGACAAGAACCAACTGACTTTGACTAGGACGCGAGACTTTTTCATGGTGGTGACCAAAGACCCCGAAAGCTCCGACGGCGCATACATACGGGTTGGATCACTTGAAGTCATTTGCGCGGATCCGTCAGAAAGGGACCACTGGTTTGAAAGTGTCTGGAAGCCTAGCGTTCTACCCGAGGAAAAGATAACAGTTTTGTGACGCAGATTTGTGTTCATCAAATGGATCTGAGAGAAGATGAGATATCGTCGTTAAAGGTCGTTATGTATTATACAAAAGCCTCCCTTCTTTCTTCCTGTATATATGCTCACGCTGAATCTATGTTACAACTTGCACGCCCGGACCTTCATTTGACTTTCATGAGTGAAGATCAAGTCAAGGATGTTGGGCCGACTCAAAATTGGGCTCCTGAAGCAGGTCCATCATGGCCTGGTTGCTGTACAAAAAGTCCTCCAGCTGGGCTGCATTCGTCATCCACATCATTGGGTTCCCAGGCTTCATCAGCCCTTCGTCCATCGTGTCTCCTCCCATACCTGACATCACAGTGCCCCCCGCCATTTGAGATGCCTGAGTCGCATTTTGAGAAAAGTCCATCTGATGTTGATGCTGTTGGTGCTGCGGTTGTTGCTGAACCTGCTGATTTCCGCCATTGCCTCCTTTTGCCGGGAATCCAAGGGCAGCAAGATAAGCGTCCATCTCAGCGCTCGCCTGTGTCTGTTGCGCCTGTGGCGTAGACGTTCGGAATTCGACAAACCGGAGAGCAACGCTGTACAGCACCTGGAATAGGCGATGCATCTTGTGCGCCGCGTCGGAGAGAGTGTTTGCTTCCTGAAGGAAGAGGATGAAGCCATGTAAGCGAGCCAAGTCTTGCTGATCTTGCGTCTCGATAACTTGGCAGAAGAGCACAATGAAGGGTATGAATGGTGCGAACATGATAGTCCTGCGATAGTGTCAGCAGCGATCTGTAGTAGTTCGAGATTAAGAAGCTAACCAGTGGATGTAAGTCGCAAAATAGACATCATGAGACTTCCGCATGACCGAAACACACTCTTGATGTTTCTCAAGAGCTGCTCTAGCGGCCTTGATGCACTCAGGGCTGAAAGTCGTGGGAGAACCTTCAGCACGTGGTGCAGCTCTGTATACCATTGTCAACATTGACAGTCGAAGAACCGAGTCAGATATGAGACAGAAATCGACGAAAGCCCCTTCCACCATTTCTCGGGCCCTGTCACCCCATTTGGCCTGCTATGAGAGTCAGTGTTGTCCAGCTTCGGTAATATGTCTAAACACTCACATTCGCCTCTTGTGTCCGCGTTTCCACGTCATGGAGCATGGAGACAAGCTCATGCACGCGAGTCTGGCGGACATGGTAAGGCTGTGCCATTGAGTCTGGGCTGTACAACATCTCATAGATCTTTCCCTGGCACTTGGCAGTGTGGATCCACAGGACGTAGTACGGTAGTAGAGGGTCCTCCAAGGGATCCTCTAATGAAGGCTCTGGCATGGTGATGTGCCAGTCGGGGATTGTTGACGCACGACCCAAGCGAAGTGATAGGCTCTTGTCGATATAGTAGACGTTCCAGAAGAGGAATTGGTGCCAGTGCATGCCGCGAACCCTGGGTTTCCCGTCATCTTTTGTGTTCTTGAGGCACTCCACTCTGTGGTAGCCCAAAGTCTGACATAATTCCGAGGCTTTTGATGCCAACGTCCATGCGAGTGATGGCTTTGAAATCTCGACAGCGTGGAATGTCTGGCGTAGTTAGCAATTGCGCCTGGAAAGAAAAACTCTTTTAACTTACTCCGAATAGAAGAGCTACAATTACGTCGGCAGATGCTGGCAAGTGAAGTGGAAGGTTCGACAAGCTGGTCTCCAGATTTGTTCTACACATCCTGGCGTACTCTTGGTATTCTTTCTTATCTTCTGGTGAGATTTGTGCAGCGTAGTCGGTGAATAGTGAGTAAAGACCGCCGTTGACAGTGATGAAGTCGTATTCGGAGTGGTTTTCTGAGAAGTAGACATTAAGACAGAGGTCTGGAAATCGGCGAGTTGGCAGGAAGTCGTAGATCCATGCCATTCCAGAGAGTCGTTGGCCTTCACCTCGCATGAGTCAATTCCTCGTTGAGCATACATCGGGAAGGGGACTCACTCTTTGCAACCCGAATAGTGTTCACAGCCTTTTGGATGGGAGGCAACTCAAGACCCTGGATACGTTGCCTTTGTACCGGTTTTGCATGAGGATATGTCATCTCTCCCGCAACTGGCTGCTGCTGGAGAGCGGTGACGATTTGAGATAGCGCTTCCAGCGTCTCTCCCAAGTCGAGGCTTGAATCCTGCAGTGACTTGGTGCTGACAACCTTTTGAAGGAACTCCGTCGCGAAGACTGAGTGGGCCGCCAGAGAGGATTCTCCTTCAACGACCGCACTCGACTCCTCGTCTGCCTGAAGAGCGTGGCTCGATGGCGTATTTGTTGATGTAGGAGGCCCATCTTGGGAAAACAGTGACATTCCCTCGGTGGGTGGTGTTCCCATCATTCCACCTGACCTATCACTGCTGGTAGTTCCAGCCGAGGGGTTGACCTTCATGTCATGAAGGAGGCGGATAACAGTCTCAAGTCGCCGGTCAATCTGATCGATCTTCCTCTCACTGTAGCACGCAAGTTACCATCATGTGTTTCATAGTCACATGCTGACAAAGAAACAAATTTAGAGTAGAGTTCGCTATGCGGAAGATGAGATATTAGTTGTTGCAGGCGGGATCGACTTACTATTGTGGGGTGATGAGGATTCTAGTCCTTTTTTCTTTCGGTTTGTTGTCTGCGTGGGTACACTCGATTTTGGCATGAGTGCAATAAGAGCAGGGCGATTCTCTATTGCATCGGATCTATGCATGAAATAAGGTGAGCATTCGTTCTTGAGTGACCGTTTGGTGTTGTCAAGTCTGACGTGATGCCAAGCAATGATGCACATCGTCGTTTCTGGGCATGTGGGTTGGTCCAAGACATCAGCTGTTTGTATATCAACTCACTTTTCTTGCTCTACAAGCGTCGCACTAGACTCCAAATCAGCGCTCTATCTTCACGAACCAACCAGCAACGACCTACTGCTCTGCGAATAGTGACTTGTTGATTAGCTGAGGTCGGCTCAGGCGCCTCCTCGGGGCCATCGTCTGGGGCATCTTCATGACCGCTGGCGTCTAGTTGGCTGTCCTCCATGCTGTAATCCTTCGCGTCTTGCTTCCCCAGGGGCGTGTAATAGTGGCACTCGATCAGTGGGGGTCGCCAATCGGAGGATTGCCAGTCAATATGAATGTTCGCGTACCGTGGGAGCCGATTCGAGTCCGCAAGACTGGAAGCAACCTGCGTTTTGTCTTCGGGGGAGGAGAGGTCGGGGCCCGAAATATGAGAAGGCAGCACAGTTTGTGTCTTCGACCGTTCTAGGAAGCATCTGTCCATATGTCGTTATTTTAGTTTTATTTCTTTTGCGCGCTGGGTTTCGGAGGCCGCGCGACCCGTTTCTGTCCGCGGCGCCCCAGTGCGGGATATATTGCCCAGATTGGGGAATTAATGGGGCTTCTAGCATTCTAGCTGCACAAATAATCCTTGCATCGTTGCATATTCTGACATAAGTTGTGAGATTTTCGTCAAAGCGCTAAAATCGTCGATATTTTTGCGCACGTTTTCACACTCATTCGAGTTAGCAATTTATCTCATATTCGTTCTAGCCTGTAAAAAAGTGCTCGAAACTCAGATCTCGTGTTCGGCAGTGAGTCACGATGGCTCTTCTATTAGCAACATGGTTTGCATTCTATGTACACAATCGGCTGTCCTCCGATCCTGCCATTGTCCTCTAAGCGAATTGACAAGACAGCTGCTGAGGAGTTGCAGTAACTCCCATTGCACGCAGGGAGTTGAGAGCATACTCGCAGTGGGTTGGCGAGGTGAAGTGGATCTGGTCGTGGAAGAGGTACTTGCGAGCCGAGTACTGGCAGTTAGGCGAAGTGTAGTCGGGGTTCGGTGGGCTAGACATTGTGAACAAAACGTTAGCCGATGTTTCAATGATAAATCTTCCAGCATGGAGATTCGGTGCCGTTGCCTGAGATGCAATCGACATTTCGCAAAATTTGGAGACTTACACAAACTCGCCAATGGGCCCAACATCAGCGCAATATCCGGAACGGTCCAGGTATCCTGCGGTAGGTCCAGTCCTCAATGCACCGCTCTTGATGTCACGGAGAGTCTGAGTGAAGTCCGGAGAGAAGATGGTGATCTGTCCACGGTACTTGGTGTTGTTGTTGAGCTCGTTGATCAGAGCTACGACAGCCGTCTGGTAGTTGCGGGCAAAGTCGGCAACCTTGGCAATGTCGGTTGCACCGCGGCTCTGGATGAGGGGAATGAGCTCCGCAGGCAGGACAGAGAGGAAAATGAAGTTACGGGCACCAGCATTGTAGATCTTCAATACCCATTAGCGATCGATGCTACAATTAGGTTACGTTGATGGGACTACTTACCTGGTCGAACTTGGAGCGAATTGTGCCAATCAGGTTGGTGATGAGTTGAGGCTGGTTGGTGGTGTTGTATGTGTTGAGCACATCGTTTCCAGTGTTGGAACCAAGGAAAATGAACAGAGAGTCTCTGGATGAGGCATTGCCTGCTAGTCGAGCAGCCGAAAAGACGTTGGCAATGTTGGTGATCTGGTCGTTCCAGTTGATAATAGGGTTGAAGCCTAGGACCGAGGTAGGCGTGGCATACCGGCTGTCGGTGACGGCGCCGGGGAAGGCGAATTTGTTGAGGTTGACGTTGTTAGCTCCTCGCGCGTTGACGATGTAGTTGATGTGATTGGGACCATTGGCGGTTGTGCTGTAGCTCCTAAAGTACATCTTCGTCAATATATGGGCCTGCTCATATTTCAGTTCTCAACTTACAGCGCGCCGGAACCAATGTAATCAATGGACGCTCCAGCAGTCCAGATGTTACGGATTGTGTTGAACCCTCCCCAGTTTGCCCCTTGTGCGTCAGCTCCGCCGGTGAGCAACGCGGCACACAATACAAGTGATGCGTAACACTTGGACAACATTGTACGTCTTTGAGGCCTTTCGAAAGCTAAATGGAGTTATCAGAAAAGAAACGACTGTGGTCTTAGCTTGAAAACTTCGTCGGAGTACTACTGGTAAGTTGATGGAGAAAAAGTCTGGATGCAGCTGGAGACAAGACGTCTTTATAAACATCACCAATTGCATTATTTGAGAGCTTGTGGGCACATCAGTCTGGATTTGGATTCAAGTCTAGACCGTGATCCTGCATGCCGGGTTCATGTTGTCATCAGACTCTTTGCCTCAAAACGGGCGCGGGTATTCTTGGATGTGCACCGCATATCGCACCTCTCACCCAGACAACAAGATTACTTTCTGCCCACCACACGAAAACCAATCCAAGAATGCAACTGGCCTTAGCTTGTCGTATGCTCCTCCTGGGTTGCGCAAGACCGTCCGAGATTCTTAGTCTACTGGTAGCTCGTGTGGGGTGGTTGGCCCGGGCTTCAAAAAGACGGGACGGAGGGGCGAGCAGAAGCGGCCGTCCGAACCAGCTTCAACTTCAAATTTAGACAAAGCATAATGCTGTTCCCCCGTCCGAAGTTTCCTATGCCGTAATTCACGTCATTATACATTATATTCAGATGACATAGCCTCCCTGATGCAGGGGGGAATTAAGCATTCAATTTCACTGACACTCTGCCAGTGATCGCGCGACTCTTTGGTATCTCTCAGTGATGAGAAAGCCCCAAAATATTAACAAAAAACAGTAAATTCGGGTTTTTTTCTTTCTTTTTTTCGAAGCACTGGTTGAGGTCCCAAACTTGCTGCCTTCCACGTGTGCGATGTCGGTGCGCGGTGCGGGATGTCAACAATGAGCTCGGATCAAAGCATAGCCTCTTGCGCGACTGAATAGTTTGCCTAATTCCTTCGCGGACTTTGATATATATCCGAGCAACAGCGGAATCTTTAAGTGGTGTTGGGAAATATTCCCCGACACAGCAATGACACTGGCATGCAACTTTGATTCACTTGGTGATGCTTGGCTTCATCCGTAGGATGCTGTTTGGCCCAGCGATGATATCATTTGAATTAGGCTACAATCAACATTTAATCTGAGTACGTTGGAGTCTTTGACAAGTTGGATGCACGTTTATGAGCGGAGCTTCTATATCACAATAAACCACTTGCAGTCACCGGACAACGGCATCCCTCGGCTTCATAGCACTTGCTCCTCTGGGAGAGATCTGAAGCCATACTCCTCAACGGGAACCTCGTTAGCCGGCGGCCCCCATTTCACCGCAAGCGCCATCAATCCTGACCATGAAAGGCAGAACACGAAGATGTTCAACATCCAGACTCCCCAGGCCGTCTCTGGATGAAACAGGTGAGGCATGCCCGGTGCCAAACGCTGCGCTTTGTCAACCGTCGGCCGCATCTTCTCCTCATATTGATCGAAGGCGGCTTGCAAGTCGTTCGGGAATCGTGTGATAGCGCCCGCCAAGTTGTAGGCGCCGTTCAGTGCCAGGGTCGTTCCCATGCCTGACAACGGACTCGCGCAGTATCCTGCATCTCCCAGGAGAACAACTCTGCCCTTGCTCCACTTGTCCATCTTGATCTGGCTGATGGTGTCGTAGTAGAAGTCATCAGTCGCCATCATCTCCTTGATGATTCGATCAGTCTCCCACCCCAAACCCTCAAAGTATTCCTTCAGAATCGCTTTTTGCGCTGTAGTGCTTCCCCCCTTTCTCTCTGCGGCTGCCCGAAGTCTGTCATCTTGGTCGTTGACAATGGCCATGAAGACCGTCGTCCGGTCCTTCAAACCTGACGGACGGATCATGATTCCACGGCGGCCTTCGGCATGGAACCACCGGCGCCATTCCGAATCTGTGGGGCCACGCGGCATGCTGAAGAAACCGCCGTACATGCCGAGTCTGTTCATCCTGTCCTCGTCACCTTCTTGCCCCCAAGCCAGTTTTCGGGTCCCGCTTTGGAGACCGTCAGCTCCAACAACGATGTCGAAAGTCCGTCTTTCACCACTCTTCGTGAAGTGGGCATGGACTTTGTCCCCATCCTGTTGCAGCTGATCCAGGTAGTCCCCGAAGATGTACTCAATCCCGGCCCCACCTTCATCTTGCACCGCCTTGCTAACCTGTCGACTCTTCTTGTACAACAAATCTGCCATCCGGCCTCTCAAAATCTCGATGTCGCTTGTGGGAGTTTGTGTTCTACCACTCTTGTCGGCCCCGAAAGAGGCCCAAATTTGGTCATTCTTATCAACGAAATGCACGCCTTCTTCGCCTGTGGTGGCACCACGTATGGCGGCTTCGAGTCCGAGTTTGCGGATGATGGTCACACCCGCACCTCGAACATCGATGTTCTGGCCCTGAGGACGGAAAACTGGTGCTCTCTCCAAAATCGTGATGCGAGGTTTCTCAGACACCGGTGTCTCAGTGAGTAAGAGAAAAGTGGCGAGAGTCGGCCCGGCGATGCTACAGCCGACGATAAGAATCTCCAGGGGTGCCATGATAGTGTGGTGCAGGCAGTTGCTCCTCTGTAAAGCTGGGTACGAATACTAGATTTTTGATGGCTGACTTCGATGCCACGAAAAGGACTCACGCAGACGGTAAAATATCCATTCTAATGCCAACATCTACTCAGGCAACAGGACAGCTTTCACACAAAAATCTAATGCGTCATGAGGCTGGAATCCTTTCAACACGGCAACTTTCCGCCGCATGCTGACATGGCTTACATTCTTATCTCACACACTGTAATTGCAAAACGCGTAGCTACTCATGCTTCGCCCGTCACTGTTAGTTGTCACGCCCGTTTGCGTGGCGATCGCTATGGGGCGCTAACACATCGGTTTTAGTTACATGTCCCCTCAAGATCGCTGAAGGCGCCTGTATGTCAGCACTTACAGCGGTTTCGACCGATGCCGTCCAACGCGGTGCATTGGACTGGAGTCATGCCTCGCTGGACATTGTGTGCAGATGGAACTAAACTACATTTATCATGGAATTGCAAATCCAGGTACTTGAAAGAGCAGATGTATTTTTGAGAACACGATGCTCGTGTTCTCCTACAGTATCTCAATCACTACCTAAGAACTGCTCTTCAACGGTCAGTCTTGGGCGACCTTGATCGCAACCTTCCCCACAAAGCCCTGCCTGAACAAAGCTTTGTAGGCCTTCTTCGCATCTTTCCACTCAAACACCTCAGCGACCGGCGGCTTGATGTTGTTCTTCTCGACGAACGCACTCATCTCCTGGAACATCCCCAGACCCCCAAACATCAGACCTCGGACTTCGAACTAAGTCAGTCGGTGTTGCGCTAAGGATTGCTCTAAACCTACTTGTCTTCGCGCCAAAAACAAGATCGGGTATCAGATCATGTTTTTCGGAGCCGGACAGGAACCCAATGGCCGAGACTAGACCATCTTGACGAAGCGCACGAAGGGATTCGGCGATGGTCGCGGCTCCTACGACGTCAATGACATGGTCTGCTCCTCGTCCTTCCGTGACTTTCAGGGCGTCTTTGCTCCAGTTGGGATTGTTTTTGTAATTGAAGACATGCGTCGCCCCGAGTTCGCGAAGGAGATCAAGTTTGTCCTCTGATGTTGAAAAGGCAATGGTCACCGCCCCAACTGCAGCAGCAATCTCGAACCTGTCAGTGCCTCTGCCCACCAGATACGAGCAACCTGAGCACAACTCACCTGCAGCACTGCGATACTAACACCGCCGGTGCCCTGGATGACCACAACGTCTCCCTTCTTCAGATACTGAGGGCCCCCAAAGAGCGTATTCCAGGCGGTGACGTACGGTCCACTGAGGGATGCGGCCTCTTCGAAATTGAGATTCAATGGCATTGGCGCAAGCGCGTCTTCGTCGAACACAGAATACTGTTGCAGTACTCCGTCCATGTCGCCTGATCCGCCGCCAACTTTGTTATTGAAAGTTGCAGCAGTCTGACCAGCTTTCCAGGTTGAGTTGGTTGCGTTGATGACCTTGTCACCGGGCCTCCATCGCGACGACTTGGAGTTGACCTCGACAACGACACCAGCGCCGTCGCTCAGGGGTACAAGACCTTCCACAGGGCTACCGCTTGCATAGCGTGGGTCAGATGTTAAGATTAGAAGATCCCGATAATTGAGGGTTGCTGCATGGATCTGGACGAGAACTTGACCTTCCCCTGGCATCGGCTTAGAAACTGTTTCTAGTGAGAGGTTCAGGTCGATGCCTTCTTCGGTCAGGCCTCCTTGGATATTCTTTCGAATTCTCCATGCTGCTGCTAGACTTTCGGCCATCTCTCCAGTTTTGCGCGCACAATAAAAAGCAAAACTGTTTGAACGACTTGGAAACCGGGAAGTTGGATGTCTTTTATGTAGTTGTGGTGCACTCTTGCCGCTCTTCCCATTCAGTGCAACTTCGTTATTTTCTTGACGTGGAACGGCCCCGCGCCACCTCCATTTGAATGGATTTGTAAGGTCGGGTCCATAATACAGGTTCCACGGCGAGACAGAAAGAATTTGTGCATCGTGTACACTTTGTTTGGTTGTGTCGTTACATGGCAGCATTTGTGAGTGATAACGTTGACGAATGCCGTGATGGAGTCAGCTTCCATCGCCGCGGGCTTGTTTTTTAAGTATCCGGTCTGCTTAGCTTATTGAGGTGCACAGCTGTCATCGGATCAATTGAGCTACCACTTATTACTCCCCAGCCATACCTGTCACGTGAGAGAAGGCATTTTCTAATTAGTCCAAATACGACCGCGGAAACCGAGTTCGAAGTGGTTGCTGACGTCGCCGCTCCTCCAATGAAGTTGGACGTTGCATGAAGGCCAATCGTTGGTCGCATGTTCAGGTGCTGATGCAGACTACGCCGTGTGCTGCCCAGCCTGATCAGATGATGCTTCTCACCCCCGCTCAGTTGCCTCGAAAGCCTCTTCTCTCCTGCATCAGAGTCATCATAGAAAGACGGGTGGCGGTTAGGCCATCGTGGAAATCGACACCACAATGGAAGCGGCTGGTCTTGCCTCTAGTATCCTGACATTCATCGATATTTCCTTCAAGATCGTCAAAGGCGCCCATGAGCTCTACAAGTCCGCTTCTGGTTCGACGTCAGAGAATAACCACATCGCCAACGTTGTCCTGGATCTGGAGAAAGCTTCTGGCTATTTGAGCATACCTCAGTCAGGAAATAAGGATACAGGACTTCAAAGCCTTGTGGCTCAGTGTCAAAGCTTATCACGCGATTTACTTGAGCTTCTGGATAAGCTTCAAGTCAAAGACAAGACTCTCTTCAAAAGCTTTGCTGCTGCCTTTGCAAATGCTCGCAAGCAAAAAGACATTGCCTCGATCGAACATCGTCTGGATCAATACAAGCAGCAGATTTTGCTTCGTCTCAGCCTTCTTTTCTGGTATGTGGTATTCCATACATGACTCTGGTAAAGAGTGGATGCAGCAGCTAACATTGGTTTCAGTCAAAGTCAGGCACCGATTCGCGCGCAGCTCGAGGCGATTCGAAAAGAAAGCAACCGATTAGAGAACAAGCATGCGTCGGAATTAGAAAAGACGCACGCCAAGATGGAAGAGATCATAGAAGCTTTAAGAGGCCAGCAAACCGATGCGAGGCCAAATGCCACTCTTAACCGGATAAAAGAGTCGAATCAAATCCTCGATGTCGTCAAATTTCGTGGAACAGGAAGGGGACCAACTGCACCCGATATAGCCGTGGAAGGCGAAGCTTTCCGACTCAATTCACAAAAATCAGATGCATCGGGCGGACTTGCAGATCTTGCCAACATCTTGAGCCGGCTGAAGCCGTTGTATGAAGCTATACGAAACGAAAACAGCGTCCTCAGCTTTTTATACTTCGATGATATGTTTCGCAGGGAGGATACCGTACAAGACGCATCAGCTGAGACGTTTGCCTTGATGGTTCAAAAGCCCAACCCTTCAGACGTCGAACTCAAACAGGATGGCAGTTCGTCGGATGGCGAATCACGAAGACAGGGGGCTGCGAGTGACGAAACAAACTCGGGCTCGGGGCAAAGCCACAGTTCCGAGAACAGCGATGTCGAAACCAGCGACGCGGACACCTTCACACGCCAAGAGCGTCGAAGAAAGCTCGAAGAAGAAAATCTGCAAAGACGAATGACCTCGGAGAGCTTTCTGTCTTTCTTGACTGCGATCGGAGGCGGTTCGTACTTCATCACAGGAAAGGCAGGCTCTGGAAAATCAACACTCATGAAGTTTCTGGCCAATCACCAACGAGTAGCCAAACATTTAGGAAATTGGGCAAGCGGAAGAAAACTCATTCAGGTTAACATATTCTTCTGGAATTCCGGCACAGCCTTGCAGAAGTCATTGGAAGGTTTTTATCGCACCATGTTGTTTCATACCTTGCGACAGAGCCCCGAGCTTATCGAAGAAATCTTCCCTCCGTTTACGGGCACTTATTTGACCGAGTCGAACGCGAAGAGGTCTCCAAATCTCGTCCAAGCCTTCGATCGATTAGTTCGGGTCGGGGTGTGTTCGAATCATGCCTTCTGCTTCTTCATCGATGGTCTTGATGAATACGAAGGGGACACACTAGATCAGAGGGACTTTGCCGGCAAGCTACTGTCATGGTCGCGGGCAGATTATGTCAAAATTATCTGCTCGGGCAGGCCCTATACGGCATTCTTAGATGTCTTCCAATCAAATAACCCTTTCGTCAAGTTAGAACATCTCACCCGGGCAGATATCCTGAACTTTGCCCTCTCTCAATTTGAGCATCATCTGGAAGATACGGCATTTGATGGAGTTCGATCCGCTTGTATCGAACAGGCAGAAATGATCACGGACAAAGCAGAGGGAGTGTTTCTTTGGGCAAGCCTTGTCGTGAGGTCTTTGCTCAATGCTGCCTTGGATTACGAGGACGAAACCCAAATTGTCCGACTGCTGAATGAGTGTCCTACGGACCTCAATGGCCTCTTTAGGAGAATGTTGAGCAATATCCACAGTTCGAAAACGCTCAGACTAAGATCAAACTTCATTTTCAATCTGGTTGTCCAATGGTGGTCCGAGAGCTTCGGTGTCAATGTCCTTACCCTTACGTGGCTGTCGGAATTCAATTGGTTCCAGACTGCTTCCGAATTTCCGTTCAACGTGCGCAAAAATCCGTATGATGAACAAGAAATCGATAGAAGAGTCTCTATTGCTCAAAAACAACTTCACCTGCTGACACAAGGGTTACTTGAAGTTGAAAACCCCGGACTTCGCCACCACGCACCGTTCTTTGCGTCTCGAATCGGCTTTTTCCATCGAAGTGTCATAGACTTTCTCAAGAACGAATGGCTGCCAAAATTGGATTGTGGGCCTTTCGAATCGATTCAAGGCCAAGCAGAAGTATTCTGTCGGCTTAAACTTGCCGAGGTGAAATTTGCTCCTCGGGCACTTTCTCAGGCAACAGGGCACAGTTACAACTACGACATACTCGATATGTATAAACATTTCTTTGACACGTTATCGACGTTGAGGTTGAAGTACGGTTACCAAGTACCTCTGGAATACATTGAAGATATCGAGAAGAACGGATGTGGCAATGTGACGGAGGACGAAATTCTTCTGCCCACTCCTTCGAATATAGGTGGCTCATCTATACCAGTCTGGCTAGCAGATGTAAGGTCCCAGAACATTCGAAGGCTTGAATCCATGGAAATGGACACACGAGTCCGGCTGTCCATTTTGCATATGGCAATAGTATATGGCGAAGAAGAGTACGTGCGCTGGCGTTTAGCCTCTTCGAATCCGGATTCGATTTCGTTAATCGACGCCCCTGATACGAGTATCCTACTATCAGCATATGTCTCGGGAAATCCTGGTCTTGTGAGATGGTTACATGAGAAGGGACTTCACCCAGGTGATTTCATAATGGGTGTCAGTCTCTCAGGCGGCCTACCACGGCACAGAATTTCTATCTGGGAAGCCTATTTACTCAGATTTGCGAATCACATCGCAGGACATGAACGCTCATTGCTGTTTGACCCGGATGCGTACTCAGCGGCGTCAGCGCTGGAGAAAGCATACGAGGTTCTGGAATTAGTTCTCCAAGCCGGAGCTGATCCATCGCTAAGAGTTCTTGTTGATATTAGGACCAAAGAATCGCGCAATCGCTGGATATACGACGAAACTGACATAATATCCAGTCATCACATTGGTATAGATCAGCTGGTTAAGATCCACAACCCTAAAAATGAGGAAGCGCTATTAAAACTGCTCTCAGAAAAGCAATCGGCCTCTCACTTCTTCAAAAGAAAGTCTTTCATAAGATTTGCAAGGATATCAAAAAGTTCCACAGAGAAGACACCTCCCATAATTGCCTTCTTCCCTCAAATTGAAACGGAAGAGTTAGCCAGGAGCTTCTGGAGCCCAAGTGGTATTCTTTCGAGAAACGGTGACAGAGTCGTGAGAGATTTTATTACAAGGGACTTCTGATCAATCACCACTCAAGGCCTACTGTCAGATTGCACTTGAAGCTATAAAGGTTAGCTTGTTGCTTCCATTCAACATCCATGATGATCATGTAGTAGGATTTCACACCGGTGGTCACTTATGAGAGTTGCAGTTTTTCGCACCATAACTTTCATTTCCAAGAATAGAACAGGCTATAGTTTCTCGTTCAACGGTGGCATATTCAGTCTCTTAGAAAACCTGACCCTTCGTCTGGTGCACCTTGGACACGTTGACATTCTTCCACAAAAACACACAAGCCAGCGCCAACGGCATGAATGCTGCACCGCAGATGACCATGTGTCTCTGAACCGCTCCATAGGCCTGAATAATTCCAGCCCTAATTGGGCTTCCCCAAGCATATGAAAGCTGAACTTTGATATCTCCGTAGATTGTAACAGCGTCGTTCTTGGCATCATCAGGCAAGAACTTGATGAGCTTGTCCAAGAATTCATTGGTCCAGATGGCGCCAGAAATAGCACGACCAATGGAGCGACCTACTGAAGTTGCAAGGCCGATCAAAGCCAGCATTACCGATACCTCATTGTGCTTGACCACAGACATGACCGCCAGTTGTTCGCAGATGATAATGGTTCCTGAGGAGACAGCCTTTAGGATTTGGCACATAATCACGTACCCAATGTAGGTATCGGGTGTGCGGAAGTGGATAAGAAGACCAGTTGAGAGGCAGGCAACCGGAATGGCGGCCATGGCAATCCACTTGTAGTGGTGGGTCTGGCGGATGAGTCTGGTAGCCGTTAGCGATGTGCTGTGATGATAGTTGGGAAGCAACTTACAGTCCAACGATCGGTCCCCACGTGCAGGAAGCAATGGTGTAGATATTCCCAATGAAGCCTGCCTGGCTGATACTCTGGTGGTGGACAACTTGGAGGTAAGATGAGAAGTAGGAATCCCAAGTGCCGAAACTCAGGGCGATGACACCAGCAGTGGCGGCAGAGCCAAGAATAGTCCGATCCTTGAGGTTCTTCCAGGGGACCAGAGGTGTATCGGCGTACATTCTCTCCCAGAGTCCGAAGAGAACTAGGCAAAAGACTCCGAGGATGATCATGGCAATGATGTGGCCAGAGACCCATCCCTTTGCGGCATACCGAACCAAACTGAAAGGCAGCAGGAAAAGAGAGAAGCCAAACATGATCAGCAGCATGCCCACGACTGGTCTACAGTAAGCATCAACGTAAACATTCCATGAATGATGGGTACTAACCGTCAAACTCCTTGAAATAGAAGACCAACGACTCTTGAATGCTGCGGCCGCTCTTTGTCAACTCAGGACCTTTGCCGATCTTGTAGGCCTTGCGCAGGTTCCACCAAAGCATGCCGGTAATGAGCATTCCGAAGGCGGGGAAGATGATGGCGAAGGCTCCGAACGCCCAACGAAAGCTGCTCTTCTCGACAAATAGCTGGGCGACGACGGGACCGGCGAACGCGTTCGCAATGTAGGCGGTCGAATTAAGGGTGTAAATGATCATACGGTTACGGATGGAAGTCGTATCAGAGATGATGACAGTGTGGATGTAGCCAATTCCTCCACTTCCAACAGTCCAAAAGACCTTGAAGATATTAGCCCAGTACTGGAGGCAATCGATAGCTTGGGACAAGTGCATCTTACCTGCGCAGCGGCATACGTCTCGACGTTGCGGCAAACGGCCATCAGAATCAGACCAAAGCAGCAAAGAGCATGAGCAAGAATGTATGCCTCCATACGACCGAAGACATTAAGGATCTTGGCGAATGGCAATTGAGAAACGCCGCCAGCGATTGAGGCGACGATACCAGTAGTGGCAGTGAGGCCATGGCGCTGGAACGATGATGTTACATAGGGGGCAAGGTTGCTGTTCATCTGCTGCTGCATGGAATGTGTGTAGGAGGTGATCCAGATGCTACAATCATGTCATCGTGTCAGCGGTGTCAATTGCATTGATAAGGTACTCTGAGGGAACCCACAAGATGTAAGTGAGAATCAGCGCTCTCCACGACCACGCGGAAGTAATGGCCTGGATCTTCTTGACACCATTTTGGGGTTCCGTT